TCTTAATAAATTAATCAAACATTATTTCCCTTTCACAAAACCACTACTCTGCCTGATTTCCCTAAGATTTTCCAAGTGACCTGCTGTAAAAATTCCAGCAGATGTTAGGTTAACTGTCCTGTTGTTTGCCGCTTCCTCCCTCCTTTTCTTGAATCAAAGAATTATTACAGCACAGAAGGAAGCCACTTGGTCCATCATGTCTACTCTAGTTGTCCAATGAGCACTCTGACTTAGTGCCATTCTTCTGCCAGTTCCCCGTACCCAAGCACACTGTTTCTATTCAAATACTCATCTAATGCCTTTTTGAATACCTCAATTGACTCTCCCTTCACCACACTTTCAAGCAGTACGTAGTAGACTTAAACCACTTGTATATTAAAGACTATTTCACCTCACCGCCTTTGCTATGTTTGTAAATAGAAGGGTCACTTATGCTATTTTCCAATCTAATGGGACCATTCCAGAATCTAGGAAATTGTGGAACTGTAAAACCAATGCAAATACAATGTCAGCAACTCCTTATTTTAAGATGCTAAGATGAAGTCTATCAGAGCCAGTGGACTTGTCAGGTTTAAATTCAAACAACTTCTTCTGCATGCTTTCCTTGGTGATTGTAATTATTTTACATTCTTCACTAGCTTTCGTATTCTGATTCACAATTATTTCTGAAGTGTTATTTGCATCCTCTACAGTGAAGAGGACATAAAATATTGGTTCAGTTCATCTGTGATTCTCTGATTTTCCATTAGCTCTTTCTCAGACTCACTCTCCCAAGGACCAACACTTATCTTTTCAATTCTGCAATACCTGTTAAAACACTAAATGTTTTTGCATTTCCAGCTAGCCTTCCATGATACTCAAATTTCACCTTTCTTATGTCATTCTTTTCTGTCCTTTATATTCTATTCAAACGCTTGACCTGCCACTCATCTTTGTGGAATTATATCATTTTTCTTTCAGTTTGACATTATCTTTAACCTCCACAGTCACAGAAGGTATGTCCTACCGTATATCTTTTTCATTGAAATATATATGTCTTGAGTATTCTGAAATATCACCTCAAATGCGTGTCTGTACATTTCTGTGAAACCATCCAGTGACCTAGCTTCTCAGTTCACTTTGATATCATACCCTTATAAATCCTCTTGTTTAAGGTTAAAACACTACTCTCAGATCCACTCTTCTTTCCCTCAAACTGACTGCAAATTTCCATCATACTATGATCATTGTGACCTAGGGGTGCCTTCACTATGAGGTCATTACTTAAGCCACTTTCATTGAACATCATCAGATCTAGTTTACCCTTCCAATCTTATTTATCCTATATATATATACATGGATATTAAAATCACCCATGGTTACCACAGTTCCTTTCTCACAAGACCGATTCTTTCTTTTTGTGTACCTTTCCCTAAAATATGGTTGCTATTCGGTAGCCAATAAACCACTACCACAAGTGATGGCTTACCTTTACTAGCTTCTCAATCTCCCAAAATGTCATATTCCCTTTAATATTCAGGTTCCAGTTTATCCAGTGATATCTCTGTAATGGCTATCAGCTAAATTGTATTTATTGTAATTGGTACTGTCAATTCATCTGTTTTATGACAAAAACTATTTAAATACAGAGTCTTTAGTTCCATCTTTTTAGTTCTTTTTCTGATCTCTATCCCCATTAACTGTTGCTTTTTTAGGTTCGTATAATCTGTTCCTTCCTATCTGGTTCTGATGATTATTTTCTATATTGCTACCTTGCTCTCTTGCTTTATTTTGTCTATTTAATTTATAGAATCTTCCTAAACGTTATCCTTCAGTTCCACTATTAAGTTTAAAGCCCTCTCTATTGCCCTAGAAATCCGAGTCGACAGAACCGACCCCAAAATGGTTCACTTGAAGACTGCTTCAACCAATATAGATGCCATTTTCACCAGTAATGGTGCCAACGTCCCAGAACCAAAACCCATTTCTCCCAAACCAATCTTTGAATTACAAAAGTTGGATGGAGTTGAGCTTATTGAGTTTATTGGCCATTGGAAGGCATGAAAGATTGTGAGACTCCCACAAAGTTCTAGTGGGCTCAAGAATAAATAGTGCCAATTGGCTTATTAATGAGTCCAATTGAGGTCGCCCCCAATAAGTAGATGAGTATCTCGTATTGGCCTGTTCCCAGCCTCGACTTAATCACAGGAGGTTGTCCAGCTTCTAATATTTTAACCAAGGCTTCCCTTCTGATTAACTGGGCCCAGTTGCCATGTTTTGCATTGCAATGAACTGGACCAAATTGCTCTCTATTACAGTTCTCAATTAGCCAGCTCATAAGCATGCTTCTGGCTATCAAGGATAGGTGGGAATGTGGATTCCAAAGCACAAACACATCAGCCCCTAGCTCATTGAATAGTGGGATAATGAGGTGTAGAGCTGGATGAACACAGCAGGCCAAGCATCATCAGAGGA